AAGGTGAGGAAGTTTAGGTGCAATTGCAGGCTAGAAAGTTCACAACTCACCAAAAGAAAACATTATTGTGTTTGTCCTTTTCGCTGAGCAGCAGGAAACCGGCTTCTCCATTCATGTCCATACAGGATCGCTTTTGCTCCCCAGAAAACGTAGAATCCCTACCCTTCTGAGGATGGTCATAGTCTGTATCGAAGGCTCTAACCTGGTACCCCACAGCAAATGCAGTCTTGGAAATTCTAGCTTTGCCACTAAAGAATTCCACCAGGTCCAAACCACCGACGCAAAAGTCTGCGGAGACCGGGATCCATGAAGCAAGAAGAGTCAGCCAAACAAAATCCTTGGATGAGATCGATAGGCGAACCTGAATGACCTTTGCCAGAAAGAAAAACTAGCAAGTATTGACAGGCAAATCAACTGAACTGAGACACCGCTGGAGCGCCAAGATCCAGCATGTGCAAGCATGCTTGGAAAATTACTTCTTCCGATCGCATGGCACTAGAACTGCTATGATGCTGCTTGATCAAAAGCGGACCACTGGCAAAAAAACATTCAAAGTTTCGGCTCCTGTCTGAAAGCATCCAACAACGGAGTGTCAACACCCAAAACAAAAATGCCAGCAAGACTGTGGAGCCCGTGCTTGGCCAGCATCGCTTGACCCTTTCGTAGGACCATCCTCGCGAACAATTTTATTCAATTGGTTGTATTGACTACTTGACTACCATCCACACGCTCGTAAACAACAGCCTTCAAATGAAACAAAGCTGCCTTGCAAATCTATTCCACAGCCTCCATCACCAGAGACCTGGCAAATCAACATGTGTCCGCAAAAGGAACTTGCTGTGAGCCTTGACTGAAAAGTACACTAGTTGTTTTTTCCTCAACGCACATGAACACTCCCTTGCCATACTGCAAGCTGCTAGGAACTTTGGATCTATGGATGGAGACCTGTCATTGAAGCCAACAAGTTATTGAAACTGTCCAAATCAAAATCCCGGCTGTAAGTCATAATCACTACCGCACAGGCACCATCACGCAGGTCAAAACAGTCAGCTGGTCTACCCAAACAGGTTTCATGCATAAGCTCCCACGTCTGCGCTTCAGACTTGTATGCAATCCCTCCCGCTTGGAGCCAGCTCCCAAATCACAAAGGCTCATGGCTCACGCAGGCATGAACCTGACATGATCACAGGGGACTCTAACATCACTCCCACACAAATCAGCTCAGACAACCCATAAACCCATAAACAAAAAACAACAAGTTGCGGACTTGAAAGAAATTTGTCTCCAAGAAACGGACTTCATCAAGATTCAAAAACTCACCCACTTGCTCACTTGCAACCGCATGGTAGAACTCATAGGTCTGGCAAGTGTCATCATTCTCCCGGGCCTTGGCGTAGATAGCAGAAGAAGCCAACTTGAAGAAGCAATCCTGCGCCCACAACAACTTCGCAAGAAATACACAGTGTTTGTTGCTCAAAAGGACAGCACTTTTACCTCCAAAACAAAAATGTACCCCAACCATTTGGTCCTGCAACGCCGACTGCTTCACAAGCTTCGATGCAAGGTGCTCCATGTAGATGTCACGAATAGCCTTGATCTTTGGAGCGCCCACGTAGCGGCGAGCAAAAGTCTTGGAACTCACCTCCTTGGTAGCCTCCTTGGCCTGTTCGGTATTGTCCTTCTCAGCGCTGTTGTTCTTCTCAGTCTCAGCCTTTGTCTTCCGTGCCCTTTTAGGCTTTCGTTCATCACATTCATTTTTCGAAGACGTTGTCTTGGAACCAGACTCAGCCTCAGCGCCCTTGACTTTGGCGACCTTTGCCTCACGAATCGCCTTGGCTGCATCAGCTTTCACCTTCTTTGCCACAGCCTTAGCTTTGGCAACTTGCGACTTGGCTTTGGCCAATACCTTCTCGACCTTCGCCTTAGCCTTGGCTTTCGCCTTGGCTTTGGCTGCAGCCTTCGCTTTTGCTGCAGCTTGCTTTGGAGTGACGATTGGGTCCCACGACTCGTCTCCCTCCACATAGTCCCCCAGTTTGGTCTGCTCTGCGTCAGGCAAGTCAGCGCCTGTTTCGCCCCCCTTCTTCTTCATCCTGAAGTCAGAATTCAACTGCTCCCTGCGCAAAGTCAAAGGTGGCTCCTGCGAACAAGGGCAAAGGACACTTACTTACTTAGACCCAGGCCAACCCTTAGTTCAGCTTTCCCAGTGGGAAGTTGAAAGCTGAGAGTAAAACTTCAACAAATTGCAAACAGCTCTCCTTCATCTCCAAAAGCTTGGCCACATCTGGGTCTGCATTCTTCTTGGCAGCCATTGACTTGCCCAAAGAAGAGCTGTCCTCCTTGGGCTCCTCAACATGGTTGCCAGTAGTGCAGGCTTGAGAAGGCAGTGCTTCCTGCTGGGACGAGGAGGAAGAAGCTACCACATTCCCACTGTTCTGCTCCAAGGTCGCTGAGGCAGCAGGCACCACATCACATGGTTCAGCCTAGCTTGAAATGAATGGGATTCCGTGAAAAAACAAACTTGTTGACAAAAAGGTGGTTTGCATTTTGCATGCCATATGCTTTGGTGGTAAGTATCGCCCTAACAACTTTTCAATTGTGGTTTACCATCTGAGGAGCAGTGGACAGGCAGGGTGTCTCCTTTTTTTCTGACTTCATGGGCTCCTCGACTTCTTGAGAGTCATCGATCTCGATAGGCTCACCCAATCTAAATGGTACGGCCGCCGACTGGACCTCCTGCGTGTCCATCGGCAGGGTGTCCGAAGTGTCAAGGCAAATACCTTCAGACCGAGTTCATGTTCTTTTAAAACAACTACAGCAAAACAGAACCACACCAAACACAAACAGCAAAACTTACAGAAGTTTGGCACGATACTAGACTTTCCACGATGCATCTCACGCTGCGCCATCTTGAAACTGCAGGGGTGCTGTCAGGCTAGGCTTGTTTGGTTTTTACTACCGACCCTTGTTATGCAAGTAGCACTTAACAAACAATAAGCTGAGCTTCCAAAACCAGGCCTGACTTGCCGGATCTTGGATAGGATTTCCTGCCGGATCTGGTCCTTTGCCGGGTCATCACGAGGTGGAAGCTGAAGGTTCAGGTTTGGTAACTCACCAACATGCACAACCCCTGTGCCAAGGTGTGAATTGGTCTGACCAGGAGTCACGACAGCAGGAGTTGTCTTGGGATTCCCAACTGCCTCTGAAGAAACCGCACCAATACCAGCTGAAGAAGGATGGGATGAAGGCATTTCATCCTTTGGGGGTTCTTCAGTGGCATTCTCCTGAGAACGATGAGGATCAGGAGCATCGCCCTGAGAACCACCATGGGTCTGACGTGGGTGAGTCGCAATGGGCATGATAAAATCTTCAACGTAATCAGGCTCAAAGGCAGGTTCTGCCACGAGAGGCTTGTGACACAGATAGGCACAATCTTCCATGCAATCCTCAAGGACAGGTTCCTCTGGCACCTGTGTGCTAGCGTTCTCAAGAGGTTCATCCAGGTACTGACTGTCAGTGTACTCAACAGGTTCATCTGGCAACTGGCTGTCATTCTCGTGGCAGTCACCAGGAGGTTGATCTGGCAAAAACTGGGCGTCATAGTCCTCAATCGGATCATCTGGCTGGGTGTCAGGGTACTCGATGGGATCATCAGGGTACTGGCTGTCAACGATCAGGATGGGTTCATCTGGCAAATGATCATCTGGCAAACGCTGGCTGTCCACGACCCTTTCATCATCGACAGCATGACCACCTGAGCCATCATTGTCGTCCCCTGGGTCTGATAAACCATCTCCAACACCAGCACCATTGACATTGGCATTTCCCCAGGCATCATCAAGCATTCCCCAGACTTGCTGAAGTTCACTAGCCTTGTTTTGTTTAAGGCCGCGAATGAGCATGACCCTCCCCCAAAAGCAAACAACAAAAACAAAAACATAGACAGACAGCCATGAATGAAAGCAAAGAGACTCGTGGAGCTCCTGCGCCGCTGAGCCAGCGTCGAAGCAAATGGCTGAACAACTTCTTTAGTCCCCATGCATCGACCGACTCGTGTCCACTCGATGCTCCCAGCCCAGAGATCTGGCGAAACTGCTGAACCTGTCAGGCAAGAAAGTGACAGCAATTCAATGATGTTATCCAATGTTTTTGCTACAAATTAATACAGGCTTTCCACAATTATTTGCTGCATGGTTATTTCCAACACTTGTCCTGGTTTCTGATCAAGTGAATGCCGAAGGTAGCTGGCAAAGCGCTTTGAGGAATCCACCACGCCGCCACTAGCTCCAAAGCCCTGCAGTTACAGACTAGGCTCTTGCAGCTCGGCACCCCTGTTTGGTTCTCCGGCCATTTAGTAATCCTTCCCTTTGCCCTGACAATGTTGCGGATCACAGGGTCATTCTCCAGCATCTCTGCTAAGTTGGTCATGTGTGCCAACAAACACCTAAAGTAAAAGCGGCAAAGCGGATTGAGCCTCAAAATACTACTATGGCCGGAGTGCAACATTTATTCAAGTGCTGCCACTGCTGCAATTGCCTCACAACGATGAACCACAAACATGTCAGCAGCACACATCCGATTGATGCCACACGCTCCCAGTTGGAGACCGACATAGCTGGTGAAGCCTTTATTGAGTAGAGGTAATTGATGTCACTTGGACACTTGGACGTAGAAACACTGACAATCTTCCCAACATTGATCTTGCCAACCGATTGTTTCATCTTGTAGAATCTTTCTCCATCTTAGATCTGCTTAGATCTTGATCCGGTTGCAAATACCAATAAAACTAGCCAAATAGCAAAAGCGCTCGCAAGCGAAAAAAGATACAATTTCTCTGAAAAAGCGCTTTTCCTTGAAACAGCAGAAAAAAGTAGCCCTTTGGAGTCAGCAGGTATAGTGGATTGAGAGTAGATGGCACAAACCCCGATGTTTGTTATTTTTAAACCACCCCATTTCTCTAGGACCCTCCAGGGGTTGAAGACGTCACCCGTCCACTGTCCCAGGAAGACGGTGATGGCACGCCTGGTGCTTTGGCTGGTCGGCTGGGTCTGGAGCCTCCGCCCGCAGAGTACGTCGGTCGGTCGGTCGGTCGAGGTCGTGGGTGAAAGGGCTGAAACGCTTTGGTTAGACTTCCAGGTGGACACTGGAGGTCCTGCAACCCTGTGGGTTGGTATAGGGTGTGCGGAAGACACACTGCTATGCTGTGTACGGTATGCCGCGAACTCGCAGCCGGTCAGAGATAAACCCTGGGGGTGGATAGCCAGGCTCCAAGCTTGGTGAAGAGTTTGACTGGTTGCATCATGTTGCATCTGTTTCAAGGGTGACACTTACCCTTGGGCTCCAAGTGCCTTCTAAGAAGGTGTTTGAGGTGGGTTTGGAGGGTCCAAATACCTTCTGAGGAGGCACTTGGAGCCCCAGGGTTGCTGAACATTGGAATGATTCAGGCTCCACACCCACTGATGGAGGACGGTGCCTGCGCAGGTGTGCTGCTATCCAGGCACTCCATGCCACAGGTGGACAACGTGACACCTCATCATTAATTTGATTTGCACGTTTTAATCCGGCCTCACTAAATCATGGTGTGAATATATTGGAAAGAAGCGACGATCTAAGAAATACTCAAATTACTTTACAGTAAATGATGTTTGGCTGTGGCACTGTGTCTTCCACTTGTCGGCAACGTAGATGGAGAGGGCCAGCCTAGGGACCTAGACCAACAGTATCTCAAAATATATTCAATATCTTCAAGACATATATACCTGGAGTCTCAAAGTACCCCGGAAAATGGGTACAGTCGTACCTGTTTTTAATGGGGTTGTGTCCCATGTTCTAAGGTACTGGGTCAGTCGGGTCCAGGTATATATAACTGGTCCAGACACTCCATGTATGGTACCCTACACCTCCAAGTACCTCAATCCCAACATAGATACATCAAGACATACGTTCTTAGACTCGTCATGAAAGGATCTCACCTGTCCGCCTCTGTCAGTTGGAATCCCTGAAGGATTGTGTGTGTGTTTTAGTATAGAGAGACCCCATCAACCAGTCTTTCAACCAGTTCCTCAAGCCCAACCCGGTGAACATTCATGACCACAAAAACCATTGGTGCGAAAGGGGGGGGCTAGTTCATTACTCTTCCTAGAACTCACATGGGCCAACGAGGAGTTCACCTGTTTGGTTACGTGGAGTTCATGGTCTGAACTCGGGGCCAGGCCATCCGGCCCATGGGGCCGTTCCAGGGAGTGTCGATTGTCTACTGTCTACCTGTGGCCACCAGGTCCAAACTTGGATGCCATGTATATACGAAACTGCTGTGACGAGTGTAGATTCAATCCCCATGTAGGCATCTATGGCAGTCCCATTAGTCGTGTTTGGGTGTGGTTTCGGTCGGCGATCCATACACCCAACCCGAGTCTCCAGGGTTTCGGGGAACCCCATCGTGGGCCGGATCCTCGGAGCCGAGGATCGGTCGATTGTTGATCCTCCTTGGCTTGGTGGCCGTGGTGCTCTACTTCGCCGACGCCAAGCCGCGCGGCACATGCCGTGGCGCATCCCGAATCCCCTGCCAAAACCGACCGGGCAAGCACTCGATGTTTGCGAGAAAGCGAGCTGAGGGTGAAGCGGTTCAAGAGAATTACATGTATTCACAGACTCTTATTAACATGCATTAACTGTTCAATGTTTGAATTGTTATGAGGGCACTGACAGATCTGCATTTGTGAGCGTATTGACAGCCAGGCCGGCAACAGGCGTCACGCCCTGGAAGAATCATGAAGCATCTCCTGAAACAAAAAGAGATCGAACACACCTACCTACATCCGACTTCACAGGTGGTTCGACCTCTTGGGGCGTTCGCCCCTGCTTCAGACCTGGCAGGAACCCGACCTGGCAGGGAGGGCGGCTGGTAGTTACATACATCATGATCTGGACTGCTCTCGCCATCTCTCGCCCCCTCCGAGGTTTGGGCAGTTTAGCGCGCGATCGGAGGAGGTGCGGACGGGCACCCCTGTCGAGGTCACTGGGTCCGGTCTTCTCCCAATGAGGAGGTGAGGAGGATGAGGTATACATGAGGTATACCAGGTCCCGTTTGGGCTCCAAGGGCGTAGCTCCGAAACGAAGGTATGACTGGACCCGGAGATGGCACCAAACCCCCAACACCTGATCACGAGATACGACTGGAGCCCTAGGTACGCTTCCACAAGCGGAAGATCTAAGAGATCTAAGGGACAATAACCGAGGTACGCAACACGAACATGTGGTTTTTGCTTCTCAATTTCCCTGTGGCCATGGTATGCCATCCCTAGGGCTCCAAGTACCTCCTCGGAGACTATTGATGTAGGTGCCAGGAGGGTCCAGTCGTACCGAACCTGAGGTTCGAACCTGATCCCTACTAGTAGGGCCTTGTATGGTGTGCCTTGGGTTTTTTATGGATCCTGAAAGGGGCGACGACCGCATCGAGACCGAAACCAGTACCGGGTCGTTGGACTCGCCAGGTCATGTCCTTGTTCGTGAACCTCTTCGTCATCGACGTCGTCTCTTGGAGAGTAGGAAACCAGACGAACTGCGAAGGGTTCAAGTCCCAAGAAGAAAGGGGGTAGATCATGTTTGATCCAAACTACTTATTGATGTGTTTTTTGGGGTGTTGGAGTGGGGCTGCTCCAGGATGCCAAACCAAATGATCTTGCAAACATTCCCCATGGTGTCAATTTGGAAGGTTCATGAGGACATGATGTTCTTGCGAGTTCTTAGTTTCTCATGTCTATATGACTGCAGAGTTGTTGAAGGGTTCCGCACCCTCCACCAATGTCTTGAATTTTTGAATATGCGCAGCAAGATCCCCACTCAGCAAGGTTTGAACATGATTTGTTTGTTGGACTGTTGGACTCATAGATTGTCCTTTTCCACCTTCTTGAAGTGTTTGCACCTTTTTCTAAATATTGCAAACAAAGGTTTGTCCTTGCATTTTGTGTCCTTGCACTTGCACCATGTTTGCTTGTTTTTGTCCTTGCACAATATGTGTTTGCCTTCTTTTCCACCTCATATATGGTCCTCTTCCACCGAGGGCTTTGCTTGTTTCGGCTGTGCCCAAACGGAGAGGGAGGACTCGGATCCGCTCCCAGAAGCAAACCGGACCAAGACCTTCAAATCCTAGGGCTCCTGTCCCACATCAGGTGGGTGCCAGGAGGGTCTAACCCTAACCTGAGGATGTGGGACAGAAGCCCTAAGGAAAGTGACCGAACTTGAGTTTCCGCGATTTTGGGTCGCGCACAGGCCTGATTTTGGGTCACGACCAGACAGAGTCACAGAGTCACGCTTCAGTCCTGATCATACTGCTTCAGTCCTGTGATGACTACGGTGTCCGGGTAAGAGATGATAACTCTTTCCAGATGTCGGCCTACAACCGAACCATCATTTACTGAAACCTGGGAGGTTGGGAGGTTATCCAAGTCTATGAACTTCACATCGACTTCCCCCTGCATCTCCCTGCTAGATGTGTTCTTTTCGCCTGACCCGATCTTCCTTCTTTCGGTTTCGTTCGTCAAGGTGATCGTCCTGAATTGGCTTTGGTCCCTTCTCTCCGACACCGTGCCCTGGCCCGAATTGACCTGCAGAGCCTTACTGGAGGGGAATCCTGTAGAGTGGCTCCAGGAGAAGAGTGAGATTTGCGGTGATTTCTCTTGAGAAGCATGTCTTGGAAGCTGTTTCTATTCCCTGTGAAGACTTCAAGAAACCAGGGGGCCGAGTGCCAGTGTTTGGAAACCCATCTCATTTGTCTCGTCATTACATCATTGTGAGGTTGCCGTACATACAATAATTTACGATATATAATCTAGGTAGTGGACAGACGCTGCATATATTTTGCCCATCGAAGATAACCTGCGGACCGGGTGTAGGAGATGAACCAGCTGTGCCTCCTTCCTGTTGTGAGCGGATTCAAATTTGAAGATAGCCATATATGATCTCTCTCTCTCTCTCCCTCTCTCTCTCTCTCTATATATATATCCACCGACCATTCCTAGGTGTTGCACTTTACCATTGGCTATAATCTGGTCTGAACGGAACGATGTCAGGGGCCGTCCACTCCATCCACAAACCCCCGCCCCCATGATGATTCCAACAAGTCAACAGCATTTGTTTTCTTCACGCAGCTGTACGGTCTAGCCGGTGGCCTATGGCACATGCACCTAATTATTCACTGGATGGAGGTCAACAACAAAACAAAATCAAAAAGAGCATCATCCCACCGACCGTCTCAGCACACTTCATCGAAAGTGTCTCCCTGATGCCAACGCTTGAAGAACCAGAACCCTCTATAAGGCCTATAGGTTCCCCAGGTTACGGGTCTTTCAGGTCACTATATATATTTACCTACATTGGGGTGGTGCCAGAGGGGTCAATGTAGGCATATATGACAGACATGGAGTGTCTGGGTATAATAGCCTGTAGCTTTGCTGAGGTTTGTGTCTTCTATTTGGTCTCGGAGATTGTGAGCCCCCAGTACTTCTTCGAGAGCCCCTCGGCATCCCAGTCTTTGGGCGGTGTTTTATGACGGGCGACGTGCGAGTCATTTGTGGCGTAGCACCCGTTTGGGCTCCGAACAGCCCACCTCCGTTTCGAAGATGGGACAGGGGTGGGTGCCAGGGGGGTCGAATACCACCGGTCACCTGAGGATATGGGACGACGGAGCCCAAACGGGGCAGGTCATTGGACCAGTCCCATTTCGGTAGACTGAGAGCATTCGAGCATTCGAGAGCAGAGCTTATACCTGGTTTGATCCACCAGTTCTCCTCACCAGTTCGGGCCAATCGACGGAGGTGTGGTATCAATATACCTGGACCCGACTGACCCAGTACCTTAGAAAATGGGACATGACCCCATAAAAAAGACAGGTACGACATGATACGACTGGGGCCCCATGTTCCCAGGTACGAGTTCCGGGTCGACTCCAGGTATGTTGATTAATGTTATGTTATATAATAAGATCTAATAAGTTGATGTACTAGGATTGTGCTCAGAAGTGCGCCCTGAAATCACCCATGAATACAATTTAATTAAAAGGCCCAGTAAAACAATTGTCCTTTAGCTCTTTGAGTTGTGTTATGTGTTTTATGTTCTTGTTTTTGGGGCATGACCAACTCCAGAAAAAGCCTTTGACCTGTAAGGCTTATATGAACCACGATTTGAGAAAATCATCCATCCACTGGCCGTGTACTCATGCAGGTGTGCAGGAGGGAAAGAAGTGCACGGCCATTTTGAGCTGGTGATATAGTAGCCAGGTTTTGCGGAAACTCAAGAAGGGCTCCCCAAACTCATTTCTACCAGCCGTGACGTAGTAAGATAGATTCTTGGCGAAATGTAGCGACTACCCGGCTACCCCTTCAAAGGGCACAGTCCAACACCTCCAGCTTCCTAATCCCAGGTTTAGATGTAAATGATTTGGGACTATGTCATGACCCACTTCAAGCGTTCAATTCACACTTCATCCATTGAAGTCCCACAAATAACTGCTTCACACCTGAATTCTCGCAAGGTTTCTCACACCCGAAGACGTCCCACGTGTCACTAACCTGCGGCCGCAGGTTGGAAGATTGCAGCCATTGCGCTGGTGGCGTCCCTCTTCCTGGCCTGGCTCGTGCGAGGCTGGTGGCTTTGGAGCCTTGGCCTTTGGGGCGCTCGTCTGGTGAGTTCCAGCTTTGGAGCTCAGACCGTCCAAGTGACTGGAATAGGTACCTACGGGCATCAATGGGGTAACTGTGTATACAGCGGTAACTATTCCTTACATGGACAATCTGGGTTAGTAAACTACAGATGTATTCTGATTCGTTCATTGAACACCCCTAGTTGATTCGCTCCTTATAGGGCTAAGCCCTGCCTCCTTCCTGGATGCCCGAGCAAAAAAGGAAAGCCACCGTTACACAAGTCAGTACCGAGCTCTGAGAGAGATACTACCAACATCAATCAACCACTATCAACCACTAGATCCACAAGGCAAGTGTTGGGTGATAGTTTTTACACAACTTGGCTAGCTTTTTCCAACTTTGGCGGCCTATTCTCCCCATGATTGGCTGGGATGGCTTTCCTACCTTCAGTACAGAAGATGAAAGGGTCTTCAAAGTCATGCGAGAAAAAAAACACAAAAACATTGAATCAAAAGCGTTGCCAGGTCCATTGGTTTTGGATCCTTGGCTGGTACCCCTCACCTCCCTGACGATGCTGACCCAGCCAGCCAACTGGCCAGCCAGTGGTTGCCTCACGCAGCTGGCAAGACCCACACATTCTATTCTGTATGTTTAGTCTTGTGTTTGTCCTATTACCTGCAACAGTCGGTAAACCATTATGTATCACTATTAGGCCTACAAGGCCTACAACCCAACCATCATTCATCCTTCAGGCCCTGGCAATGGGATATACCCCATATATGCCCTTTGTTTCCACATGAATCCACACGTCGGACCCACGGCGGTCGGTTCCGCAAAGCCAAAAAAACTCCAAATCCCTGGCTATATCTTAGACAACCGAGCTATATATATAGTTAATTACTATGCACACACCTGATCGACAGATTCCATCATATCACACTATCCAACTTATATTTACTTATCATATCACTCTCCTACACAAATATCAGCTATTCCCCAGGCTCCAGACATCCTGCCTGCCACAAGGATCATGGGCTTAGAGGTTGCCTTTGGCATCGTCCTGCTGCCTCTCGGATCCCCACATCCTCGTGGAACCGCACTTCACCGGGGCGACGTTGGATGTCCGCACCAGCATCTGAACTCGCTGGGTGGGTGGTTGATACAGAACCCCAGGGTTTCAAGTTATTTGGGTCGGGGTTTTGGTGCCAAACTAAGAAAAGCAGGAACAATCCATTGTATGTTGTTTTTTTGTCTACCAACATTGGGCCCAAAACTAAAAGCATCTTAAATGATCTAAATAAGGCGCATGTTCCACATAATCGATTGTTTGGCTATGGCTCTTGCTGTTCAGGTTTCGAAAGGCACGGAGTTTCCCAAGTATGACCTGACGATTTGATTCCAACTGTGAGTTTCTGTCGGATGAAGCTTTAGAACATACCCAGTGGGAGAGCCACCTGAAAGCCCATGTGATCTGGAGAGCTTTCAGCCAAGATATGGACATGACGAGGTGTGGAGCCACTGCCACCTTCTCAGAAGGTACGGCTGCGCCCTCCTGGCGGCTATATAAATAGTCTCCAATCTCCTTCTCAGAAGGTATGTGGCTCCATAGGGCTTGAGGACTTGAGGGTCAATGACGGTCAATGGAGCCTTTGCTCCGGGACACCTGATATGGATGGCTTTGATGTACTTCTCCTCCCTGGAATCAGCGTGGAAGTGGACCATGGCTTTGAAGACACCCATGTCCATCCATTTCCTCTATACCAACAGGGGGGTTTCCATGTCCATGTTCATTTCCAGGAAGGCTCAACAGACAGCTGGGACGTAGCACGGACAGCCCTCACGCTGTGGAGTGACACCGTGGATCACCCTCTTGGCCATAGAGAAGAGGCCCCGGTCGCAGCGTGTACGACCAATACCCAGTGGATCCAGCAGTCCAACTATAGTCTTATACCGAGAAACGGCCAGGGGTGGTGCCATGGGGGTCAATGGGGCGGCATCTATGGCAGTCCCATTAGTCGTGTTTGGGGTATAGGTCACCAGGGGTTCCAGTTCGACTCAATCCGTCGACTGAAACGGAACGGGCGCTGGCCCGCTTGCTTCCTTATGTAGTGGTTGTTTGGGATCCCGTTGGGATAGGTGTAGATGCTACCACTGATCCCGATATTTCAGGACTATATTCTTCCAATCGTACCATCCCGGCCGGCCGGTACACGATTGCAATCGTGTACGTCTGGCGATACCTCGGCTCCCTTGGGAGCCACCCACGTCGGCTCGCAACGGGCAGGATCGCTTTGACCATCTCTTCGGGCATCACGCGCCTGGGCGAGAGTTTGAGTGCTGAATCTGCGATAGTGGGCGGTTTTTTTTTAATATCAGATATAACTTGTCCAGACACTCCATGTATGGTACCCGACACCTCCAAGTACCTCAACCCCAAACACCATCAAACACCTTATTACAAGGTACGACTGGAGCCCTAGGGGCAGAAACAGGTGCTAAATCGCTCTCAACCTATTCTATCCCAGGTCCCGGTTTCCTATCCATAACCAATGTAGGTGTCAATGTAGGGTGGTTGAAAATGTGGTTGCATATATTCCACACATGGATGGCGGTTGTTTCATTGTGGTGGATTCTATGGACGATTCCTGATGTGGAAACCCCAACGAGGAATCCAAGTCTCGTGGAGGTGTTCTGTACATCACATATGGTCACCCGAGTTTTGCAGTGAACCCGACAAGTTGGTGGCACAGAATGAAGCACCTGTTCCAGCTGCAGCTGATTTCTCTATTGACTCACTCTGGTTGTTTGGTTCAGACTGCGACTCCCAGCAACATCGATTTCCAGTCCTAGATCCACTGGGTAAGTCCTGAGGGACCTTTAAGGACATCGGGGTGGCGCCCAGCCAGACCATACACAAAACCCTGGTGCTCGCGGCCGAACCTGGGACTGCTCGAGTCTCAGGCGGCTGTGGATTGACTCAGTCTTCACACAGCATGGTGAAAAGCTCAAGGAGTGGAGGCCGGTCCTTCGTGGCTCGAAACAACCAAGAGAGGTTTTTCACAGCCCATCCAGGTCGCCCATCCGTACCACAGACCAGGGTCCTCCTGGTCTTTCAACCTTTGGAATTGGTGGATGGTGGAATCCTGTTGCACCGTGGGGCCGCGTTCGTCGTTCCGAACCGGAGGTTTGATGGGAGGACCGGGGCCTGGGGGCCAGGGTCCAGTCATAGCAACCCTGAGGAGGCACGAAAACGGAGCCCTAGGGGTTTGTTAGAAGAGTCAGAGGAGTGTTCTTTCTCAAGGGGTCACATCATCCAATTTGGTTGTTTTTGAGGCTTCTGGTCGTCTGAATTCCCTACTTTTGGGGTGGTCAGATGATCAGTGTGTTGTTGGTTTGTGTGGATCTACCAACTGAGACCTCGTTCAACCGGCTGAGGAAGAAGCCTCGGAACCCGAACCGACCTGTTTCATCGGAGGGCACTGGCGAAAGAAGCCTACCCTGCCGATGAGAAGAACCCACTAGCAGCCAGAGGTCTACTCTAAAGAGTATCTACCAACCTAAGAAACCAGGAGTTAAACGTTGTTTCCAAGGTTTACTTCAGTTTCTACCAGAGGTTCGCCGGTTTCGTTTGGGGGTTCCAGGTCGATGGACGTTCTGGGTCGATGGTCGATCCTCACACCAAAAGAACATCTGGCCGGTCAAACCACCCGGGGCAGGTACTACTGTCCATTGGCTCCGTGGTTTATGCGTTAACGCCCGGCGGGCAGGGTAGGACACGCAGCGACTGCGCCTGTCTTTCGCCAACAACGCGGCAGGGTGCGCCACATTCGAGGGTGCTGCGGCACCGAAAAAAGGTGAGTTTTGCGCATGTGCACGACCTCCTTTATGTGCAGTCCTTGAAAAGACACGGAACAACAACGACACCACTAGCAGTCACAAAGGGGTGCTTAATGGAGATTAGGGGTGCCCATGATCCACTCATTGGATGGGACTAAACACCACCCCTTTGTGACTGCTGGCGCTGAAACTACTTGGTGCACGACCCCCGGTAGGCCGTGGCGTTTCGTGAGGACCGTCTAATTGAACATGCGCACGGCGCTGTAGCGCCACTATCATTTTCAAAGATGCAACTGCAAATTCCACGTTTTGCGAAATCACAAAACTACTTTTTTTTGCACTCACCGACTCTGCTTAGCGACTTTGCACAGCTCCTTCATTATGTTGGCCCCACCGACGTCATTGTGTTGGCCCCACCCCCCCCACCCCCCACCCCAACAATTTGCAGCTCTGACCGTCAGCAACTGTCCATGTCGTACGTGTTGTTGTTGTTGTTGTTGTTGTTGTTGCAAGTAAGCAAGTTTACAGACATCAGAGAACTTCCAATCCATACCCAACGTAGCATCAACTTGGCGAATGGCAAAAACGTGGAAATTATCCACCCAAGGGTACAATGTAGAGTGCAACATAGCAGACATTTGGTGACCTCACTTCACATGCAAGGAGCTAGCATCATGTTATGTGAAGTCTGAGATATGTTTTATTATTGTGCGATGCAACGAAGACCTGGAGCTGGGATGCAAAAAAGCGTCGAACAAATCCAAATCGAAAGAAAAACACTCATATTTTGACCCTACGGTATTGCAGACCTTTGTTTTTGCACTGTGGTCGACGTCTCGATCTGCGGGTGCCAGGCTGCGGATGCGGGAGAGAAGGAAAGAGATGGAGGACTCCTGGAAGTGGTCACAGGCGGTCCAGGCAAACCACTCAAAAGCCAGTCACCAGTGGTCATCCAGAGACCGGGTGGGCCATTGCCAGCAATGCAGGTGTTTGATGCCTTGGGATAACTTTGGTTCCTTTTTGGGAGAACGTGCTTGGTACATGTTTCATGGCGCCAGGAGCCAGGAACCAGAAAACAGTATATATAACGTGACATGGAGCATTCTGGGTGATACCAGTACCACTTGAACTCTGCCCACCCTGGGCTATACAATGAGGTATGTAACTATTCCACGAAGGACCACTACTTCAGTAGGAATGCTCAGTTTCACCAGCAGCAGTACACCCCAGACAGGATGTCTCAAAAAGGCAAAACTGTGAGGAACAACATGTGGCACCAGCACCACCCTAGGCACCAGCACTCGATGAGTCACCCCTTTGTCTCCACCGACCTTCGAAACGATGGGTTCGTCCATTGGCAGGTGGGCATGGCCCTGGCATGGCCTGTGTTGCCCTCTTGACCGATAGGCCACGACCGCCAGGACGAGGTGGCCTCTTTAAAGAAGAAGCTTCAAGCCCTTGAGGCGGCTGACCGGATCTCTTGTTGGTAGAGTCGGGTCACAGTGATGGCCTACGCTGGCCATGCTCCCAGTCACTTCCGGTGGCTGTTGCAGGATGTTGCAGGGTTCGATGGACCGGACACTTACCTGTGATCCACTGATCTTTGCAACTGATGTGGCTTGAAAGTGGATAGCCATGGCCTTAAAAGATGGTCACTCAAGATATTGCAGACCACATGAACTTCGATTGCCACAGCTGCAGAGGATGGGCATGAGACAAGACATGACAAGACAATAGACCACCAAAGGCTTATATAGCAATATGCCATGCAATATGGACATCCAAGGCTTCAGATGGCGCCATATATTACCAGGGGCCCTCAAAACCATGAAAAACAAAGGTTTTCACATACAAAAAACAGGCTTTTTGCTAGGGAAAACCAGGTTATTGATGGTTTGTGGGGCCCCTGGTATATATAAAGTTGACAAGCTAGAGTCTAGGGTTCACAATCCCTTGTCATGCCGAACTGACTGGACCGGACATCCATGCCCTAGGGCAGCCCTTGACCAGTCCGCTTGACCCATTTTGCGGAACGATCTGGTGACATGCAGTGTAAAACCCTCATAGACTCATATATATATATATAACAATTAAAACAACTACAACATGGTGTTACTGCAATAGCCTGAATAGTTGGGACCAGGATTCAGGCTATTACAGTAAACAACTTGGTGGGCCACGACTTCTATCGAGTGGTGCTTTTCGTGTTTCTCACACAGTGAACTTCCGACACGGGGCGACACAGGAGGAGAATGCGCAGCTCAAGAAGAAGAGCAAAGGATGATCGGTGCCCCTCGTGAGAATGATGGACCGATGAATGCAACCTTCTGATACCCTCAACTACTTAGGGTCTAGAATGGGCATACCTGGAGGTATGAGGAGGCTGAGGTCTACTCTGTTTACTTGAGGTCCCTTGAAAGTAGTTGCAGGTAGACCTTCTGATGTTTCAAAAAAAACGCAAAAAAACGGAGCCATACACTTGTAGGGTGATGTCTCCCCACTGGCAAAGGATGGGAATGGAATAGGCCGACCCGATGCCGGAAACAGCTCTTGGACGATGAGTCGATGAGCGAACTTGATTCATTGTGGAAGGAGGCCTCTTGACTCTTGCATGGGGCGCCTTCGTTTTTTGTGGCATATCACCCGTAGCTTTCGGCAAAAGCCTCCCAGGTGGGGCCGGATTCCATCAGGAAGGCGTTTTCCGCCAGAGGTCTTCAGGTCTTCGGGGTCCAGGTCTTCGGTTCGGGGACATGTTTGTGTGTGTTTGGTCCTTCTCGGTGGTTGACCAGGAAGTACCTGCAGCCTGGACCTGGACCTGGACTAATAAGTCTACACGCCCGAGGGCTCCAACCACCTCGGTTTCGAAGATGGTTGGGGTGGGTGCCAGGGGGGTCTAACCACCGAACCTGAGGATATGGGACAGGAGCCCTAGGGACGTATGGTCGAACGCCATGAAGGTCCAAGATACTGCAGTTCCCTACGGCCCCCAGCAGTTCACCTCGGCCCTTTTTAGAAGGCGCAGGTCGTTCGTTCTCACGCCAAGCCGTTCGTTTTACGCCATGGGTGGTGCAGAATTCTTCACTACTTGACGGCAAGGGAGCTTGGATGATCATGGTTTCTTGGTGAATCCTGGTGCTTTTGGGGTACCACGTGATGGTTGGGTGACTGGGTGCTTTCGGCCGGTTGCTTTTTGTAGAGTCCTTTGGGTTTTGCGAGCCACAGCCAGCGTGCGAACCACAGACACAATCACCAAGATGGATATATGGATCATCCGAGCATGGATTTTGCATCCCAACGCTGCCGCGTGCGCGCAAAAAGAAGGACACATAAGAAACATGAGAGCACATTCATGCATGCTCGGGAACTCCGAGCAGAGATTGATGGGCCAAGCCTTGACCACACAATGGGAATTCGAAGGGTTCCTTAAGGTGTTGGGATTCAGCATTGGTGCTTTTGAAGCCATGAAGTATCAATCTCAGACGCTCCTGGGCCCTCCTAGGGCAGCCGTGTAAACGCAAACGATCATAAAGATTGTGCTACACAGGTTTCGAGGGCTTGAGGGCTAAGAGCGTTTTTGATCGTTTTTGTTCCTATAGGATTAACTGTGCTATCCAGGTGGTGTCAAGTGTTTCTTCCCTTCAAGTGGCACATGTGATTGGTGGCTTTGTGTGTGTGTGTGTGTTTTATCTACTTCTACTTGGAGCAAATCATCAATGTTCATCAAATATTTCATGCATGCATGTGAGCTTTGGATGAGTTAAATCTGAAACTCCCAACCAGCACACCTGAAAGCCTGCTCAGGGGAACTCCCTCCGCGCCCGCACGTGGCAGATTCGGCCTCCATCGGACCAGAAGGGTTTCGAGTGGAAGAGCCCCGCCGAGAGGCCCAAAAACCCCGGTGCCCGCCCAAAAAAAAGGCCTGGGCCTCATCAAACCAGCGGCAGTTCTGAATCTGACCGAGCATGAGATGAGATACATTCGCTGAAATCCTCCAAGTGGAACATCGACCCCTTCAAGACATAAACAACATGAAAAGACTGGACCATCCCAGGTCTGTCTTCAGACCCACTGTCTTAGACTGGTCTAAGAGCGTGTGGGGCCCTTCTTTTTCACACCCATGGGACCACAAGAAGCAGGTGTTGCTCTTTGGGAGCTCTTTGGTCCCCCAATTTATTCAGCCCTGGCTGGGTGCAACTTCATGAAACAGCAGCGGCTGACTGCTGACTGTGCAATTGTCAAGTCCTTTGACTACACCCAGATCATCCATGTGTGGACATATACTGTGTATCTCTCTGTATATCTATTTATGTACATGTTGCATATCATACTTTTCCTGTGGGTAACACGGTGTTTAGAATTTTTTTAGACCTGGATTTGGGTTGCTATGGTCAGCCTCTACGTATGTATACCGAGCATAGTTCTATTGCCTTCATATGTTCAACAACTTTCATCATTGAAACGGGCTAATCGTGGTGCATACCATGAAGACAGGGAGGATGCTTCGTCTGAGGACTTCGCTGTCGCAGGTTCGACGTGCAGAGACTCGGCGCGAGCGTCAAACAAAAAGGGCAGTCTTCAGAGTAAGTTGCCGACACCCGGCGACAGAAAGGTCCCTTGACCATATATCCCAGACAATCATAGACCATCCAGAAGAGATATATATCTATATGTGCATTGTGCATATATATATATATATATATGTGGGAGGTCTTAAGAGTTTTTTGAGGGTCAATGTAGGTAAATATTCCAGTCCGGATGTTTAGGTGGTCTTGTATAGAAGAAATAGAGGAATTTGGGGCGCCACTGACAGACCTGCGGACCACTCGGGCGCCACTGAAACGATATTTGTTGGGAGACCATTTTGCATTGACATGAAGCGGAGTATTCCAGATAGCAGGTGCAGCAGTGTGCAGTAACATGAAGCGCAGGACACGCAACTGCAACCGCGGACGCACATGGGGGTCGCATCATGGGTTGCAGAGTTTTACATCCCCTAGGGCTCCACGTACCTCCTCAGAAGGTATTTGGAGCCCTAGTTTAGAATGATTGCGCAACCGTGACGGTGCAGGTTCTATCTCCCACACTGCCTCCCAGAATTTACAGATCGGCATCCCCCAGCCTCCAGCGAAAGAACCCCGGGAGCATCAGAAGGAGAAACAAAGTCCCGATTTCAGCCGATTTCTCCATGGTTGAGAAGTGTATATGTGATTGTATGTGTGTGTGTGTTTCTATTCCCTTTTTGTTCTGACATGCATGCTGCATTTGTTCTTTGTTGTGGGGTTTCACCATCTTTTTTCTGCACCGAGTTGCAGGACCTTTTGCCTTGCAGTTGGGTGGTTGTTCATGCTTTATTCTCCCAGGGGCTTGGCAGATGAGATGGTTCTAATCATGTTCCTTCCATGGAGTCGACTCAGGTCTTAAGAATCTGCTTTCAGAACTGGGGAGAGAACACCTTCGAGAGAAACACCATGCAAACGGGTGAACGCCCTTCTAATTGCTTCAACACCTGCAAACTAGACTCCAGGTCCATGACCCACCCCAAACATGGCCGCGTCCATCCCAAACCTGGGAGGCTTCGGACCCAGTCCAGAAGGCTTGTTGACCAGTCCACTTGTTTGGCTGTTCGGCTGTTTGTTACGGTGCCTTCAGATGTCCTGACCATTCATGTATGGAATACCTGGAGTCGACCCGTTCGTACCTCGGAACAAGTATATATCTGTTGTTTTGCTTTTTTATGGGGTCATGTCCCATGTTCTAAGGTACTGGGTCAGTCGGGTCCAGGTAGTGACATACAATGGCAATAGTAAATGGAATGTAGCCATTCGTGAAATGCATAGTTCATTCAATGTGTTCCAATATTGCAGATCATATGCATGTATATGCAACCATTCATTTACATACACATTTACCCCACTTATGACCCTCATGTAGGCATGAACTCCACATGGATGGTCAGAGGGTTTTCCGGTTTCCCTCCCCAGAGCCCATCAAAGAATGGAACCAAGGAGTCCCGAAGGCCCAATTTGGCCTCCAGGAACCGATGTGGCGCCTGGTTACCAAGCTGTTTGGGCTCCTGGCCCACCTCCGTTTCGAAGGTGGTTGGGGTGGGTGCCAGGGAGGTCGAATACCACCGGTCACCTGAGGATATGGGACAGGAGCCCAAACGGGCAAGTAAACTGGTTGTACTGGCATTTTGGTAATGCCGAAGGTGCTAGATGGCACTGGCACCCCAAGATTTGTTCTTAGATGGAGTCTTTTGTAACCACCGACCTTGGGGATTGTGCTCTCAATCCATATTAGCCAATCCATTACAGTGTCGATCTTCAGAGTAGATGGCACCGGCACCCGAAGATATCTTTGATCTAGGGGGTCCTTCTAGACCTTTCTTGGGGGCCCTTGTGCCTTCCCAACAGAGGTGGGCCAGAACCATTTTTGGGCTATCCCAGTTGGTTCGGTACCCCAGGTGACGGGTCCTAGTTCCCCAGGTGACGGGTCCTAGTTCAGGTCACTTGACCTCTTTTGGTCTATATGCACCCATCTACTCTTGAAACCACTGTCATCACCCACGCCGCTTCCTTCAGCTCCAGGACTGAAGGCCCAAGCTCCGGAGCGCCTGAGCTCAACCTAGGCCTCCAGTCGTACCTTCGTTTCGAAGGTGTTTGGAGTGGGTTTGCAGGGTCCAGTCATACCTAACCTGAGGAGGTACGACCGGAGGTGGGATGAGAGTACCGGACCTTCGTTGGTGCTGTCCAAGATCTCCACTCAAGGGGCCCAGGTCCGATCTTGGTCCTGAAAAACCGAGACTTGAGCAGTGCTTTCGGTATGATCAACTCCAGTAAACTGAGGTGGTTGGTGGGTGCCAGGGGGGTCGGAGCCCTGTAAGGACTCTGTTTTGGCCGGCATGGACTACGGTACTGGACGTCCATTGGCCGCCACGTCCACCGATGTCCGCGTCGCGTGGGGTCGGATGGGCCAATCGGTCGGGTGGGGCGTCTGGCCGTCAGGCCAGGTCGGTGATAAGATAGCCTGGCCAAGGCTTTGGAACCAGGAGATGTTCTTGAGGTGTTGATGCCAAGGCTTGGGCGTCTCATTAAAACCACCTGATCCAGGGATCGAGGTCGGACCCAGATCCACTGCCCAAATCACACATATTTAAACGCCATGTCCCCAACAATCCATGTAATTGATATCGTAGAAGCCCCACCCCCCTTTGAATCCTGCCTTATTCCCATGGAGAGAGGATTTAAGGCCGGATGAGACTCTGGATTGCTTGGAGCTCACTAA